GTACGACACCATGTTGCATATATTAGTAGGTCATAAGCTTGATCGATTCCACCACTTTTCAACCACCCAATTTCATACAAATCGATCTGTATATTATCTTAAACTTGACACTTCGAACTGCCTTGTATACATCATCAATCAATAGGTATGAAAATTAATAATCAGTATATTTTTTATATGAAATTATTGAGTCTAAAGCATGTCTCTTGCGGATGCATTCACGTTCACCAAACTAGTGTCAGTTATCTGTCAGAAGTTCACAAAATTATCACTATTTTCATGCACTCAATGAATTTTCGATAATAGTTAATGTGCATCAGTAGTACTACTAAATATTATCAGGATTAATCATACTGAGGTCAAGGAAATCTCCCTGTAACTAAATAAATCGTATTAAATTTATCAAACTAACTGGAACACTATTGGGAATCCTTCCTCTCCGCTGTCAGACTTCTGTTACTTCAGTTAGCCTATTAATGCAGATGCAAATAGAAATAAACTCACACAGACACCATAATAATATAAAGGTTAACTGACTTTCTAATTTAAACCAACGATAATACTTATAACAAAATCCCTACAATACTGACTGCCTTTATATTTCTAAGCAAGAAATACTTATACTGCTCACAAGTCAAGCTCTTAATCAATTGTTATTACTATGCATTTTAATGTGACTTGTTAAAAAAATCTTTATGCTAAATCATTCTTCAATATGATAATCCTACCTTTTTTATCTCTTAAAAAATGTTCACTTGGATTTTGAGTTTAGGCACGTTAATAGTTAAACCTGTAGTGACTCACTTTTATCACGAGAACACGACTGGTTTAATGAAAACAATTATTATCATAACCAACTCTACCAGTGCTTGTTTTAATGTGCTTTTGTTTAACTGTGCTAATTACAGCCATTTTGTGCTTCCATTACCTTCCATGATTGTTCCGCGGTTTTCGGTTTTGTTCGCACGTACTCCGTTCTCCTGCTTTCGCTTGTACCATTTCTTGGCACGATCTTGGTATTCGTTCGTTACCACGGGATCGCCAACGAAATAAATCTGGTTACGTTCAACCTTCGCTTTCTGATTTGTTTGGTACGCGTTTCCTTGTAGTGGCGTTTATAGTCAATTTCGACTCAACACCACGCTACAAATCAAACATGTCTGAAACTGCTACATGTATATCCCGATCACTTGCGGCCGCTTTTTTTGGTTTATCTTTCAGTTTATTTCAATTGTTGGACAGCGGGGTTATCTTTTTCAATTACACTGAGTTTTTCAGCATCTCATGTAAAACAATAGGAAATATAATGCCTATACAAAATAAGGAGGTAAACGAATAATTGATCTGTAATGTACTGGCATAACGAAGATCTTTGGGGCGAACTGTTATTTAATCAACCTAAGCTGTTAAAAAATGCATTTACACAGGGTACAAATTTATCCATAACCATTGTAGCGGTAAATAAATCCCCAAAATAAATAGCTCTGTAAGTTTTCGACATTGGATACTGGCCACATGTTTTAATGGACTCACCTAGCTGAAGTCTCTCGGTCATGCATCCGCACCAGATCACGTGTGGAAACGCCGTGCTCAACATCTACTGCAGTCGCTAGCCAGACTAGATTAGACAATTCCGATATATTGACAATCGTCAAATACAACTTCTGATCTCCTCGATTCTGTCTTTTGATTTCTCTTGGTGGGTACGAGTTATATTAGAAAGTGTTACTGATAAAAGCATTGTCAAACACTGAATACATTTACCATCTTCACCATCACAAACCTCAATTGCTTGAACACTAAAGCTGTTTGTCAGTTTTAGTTGAGCAGCGGTATCTCGAAATTAATGACAACCTTGAATGGAATCGGTATTGATTCTCACAAACCATTAGGTTAGATTCTGCCAGATTCAAGCAACATGGGTGTTCGAACGTCTAAGAAGTTAACTCCGATGCGAACAAAAAAAACCAATGATGCCAATGCTGAAATTATCCTAGCGAAAATCGTTTTGTGATGGAAATATTGCTCATACTATGTTATATCATCTAGTGTATACTCAAGCGCCTACCAACGTAGATGAGTTCGCTTAGTAATCAGTATGACTGCCTAATACTGTGAAATGTGAGGTTGAAATTATCTATAAAAGACCCACAACTGAAAACTAGCACGACAATCGTATCACCGAATGACTAAGTCATTCTCTCAAACTAGGACACACACCACAGTCTTAGGGTAATTTTTCCCTCATAAAGTAAACTATGCCAGTGATACATGGATTTGGGGGGCTTATTCAGAATGTGAAAATAAGAACTCATGAAGTAAACACCCATGTGCACTCACCCACAGGCTGCATCTTCACAAACGGAGAGTTCCCAGGAGAAAGCGTCTAACTCCTGCATACCTTAAGAAGGAGTAGTCAATATGGATGCACTTTTATTCGTAAAACCGTACTTAAAAGCCATGAAGTTAACACACACTAAAATTTCATTTTCCTCAATGTCACATCTCTTCTTAAACTTATTTTAATGTACTCTTGGAATTCTTTCTTGACATAGCATAATGAACAAAAATTCAGAATGTACCAAAGGTGGCCCATAAAGTTGCGAGTAAACTAAGGCCGTATGTAATCATACCATTCTAATGCTTAAAATGAAAAGATACTGTTGAACAGAACACAAAAAAAACCAGCGACGATAACACTTGCAAATATTTCAGAAGGGATTGGGTAAAGACACCAATGGGAGATGTGTATCAGCACCAAATACGGTCGAGCATTATGTGACTTTCTTTCAATAGACAAAATATAGAGTTAGTTCCAAGCAGTCGTTCAAAAGTGACGGTGATGCTCTAGGGCACCGGACAAAATAGTATTTACAAATATTTCAACCTCTCTCTATAAACAACTTAAACGACAGTGTTTAATACAGACCAACAGGAATTTCAAACGTCTTCGAGATAAGGCACTGCCCACTATGCCACACTGAGAAAAGCATTTTAATCTTTGACAATAACCCCTTTGTTATTACCCTAACTTTCCCCCAACTAAGATGGGGTCCCAAACGAACAAAAGCTAGAACACACCACTCCGGTTTACAGAGGAGACCGACTCATTGATCTCCAGATTATCAGCTCGTGCTCTTGGGGGCTTTAGAATCTTTGGTTTACAACGGTTTGTTATCTGTAAGTTTATTCTGAACCCAATGGTGTAGTTTAAGGTCACCGATACTCGAGCCTCAGAAGTGCCACTATCCATAATTTCTTCTTATGTACTGATTTCAAAGCCGTTGAAATAAAAATCAAGAATGATTGAATGAGATATACTTGAAATAAAGACAGATATACCTTATTGTATGGAACCTAAGCTGATCAGTTTCAGGAAATGTGCACTATGGGGCATTCAGATATTATCTGGTGCTGATGCTAGACTCCGAGCCTTGGGCTAGGGATGTTTCCATTAATATTATTAAGGTCGGCATCAATGTGGAAGAATTATGTAGCTATTTTTTTTTGGGAGGGGGGTGCACTTCCACAACTTCACGAATATGTTTGCTAAGGTGAATAACTGACCCGCTACCCTAGATCGTAAGATTAAGGTAGATGGGGTATGTGGTATATATTCAAACGTTCCCCCAAGAGTTTCATGAAGAAACTTGACATCACCCAGACAACCCAAAAAGGGGTAATAAAGGCGAACAAAGGGGAAATAAAGGGTAAAACGCGCCAGAATGTCGCCTTTTTCGCCTGGCCGGGGTAAATAATGCGGATTTCCCCTTTTTTGCCGCTTTGTCGACAAATTACTCACTTTTCGCCTAAACATCGAATTTTAGCCTAAATATCCGCAGAATTGTCGAATTTTCGCCTGAATTTCCGCGGAATTGCCTACTTATACGCTTAACTGTCTACTTTTCGCCTAAATACACACAGAACTCCCTATTTTCGATCCATTGACATAACCCCAAAGGTCTCCTATGTTCGCCTTCACTTCCAACAACAGACGAAAACAAATCTTCAATGCACTGGAAAACCGGTATATTTTTTAAAAATTTTATTTGAAAGGAAAAGAGTATTATTGTACCACATTAGAGCAGAAGCTTAAGCATCGATTGTTTTGCATATCCATTGCAATTGCTAATTCATTATTATTTGAAATTATCTGCAAAAGAAGGAACAGGTGATGTATTATCTATAAGGAATGTGCATTTAATCAACATTTCACTGACACTCAAACACACATTCTCAACACTTCTATAGTTTCCCATGTAAGTAATAAAGTAAGCTCCTTTACCGAAAATTGTTTAATAAAAATGAGGTAGAACATAATGAAAATTGCACGGACTATTCCCTTAAGCCAAGTCCGTTCGGCTATTGAGAATTGAGGTAGTCGTCCCGTGAATTCTGAATTAAAAGAAAGAAAAAAGTCACAACCATATCTCAGTGACATGCCTTGGCACAGCCAAGTACTTGAAGCTGAACTTACGGTTATGTTCGTCAATATTGTTGACTGTAACTATAGAGTCGTAGGGAAGTTATCACTTTAAATTAGTACACACCTGATCTTGTTTTCTTCTATTACGCTTTATCATCTCGCCTCGTATATCGTGAAAGTAACCTTGTGTCGCGATGTCTAACAGCTTACAAAGGTCTTTTTCGTTGACAGCGGATGACAGAAAGCAATTAGTTAAGGCACCTGAAGTTTAAATAATAGATATAGGTTACTTCGTATGCAGCCGTAAAACTTGCATTTCTGAAGTGCTCGTTTTGAAGAGGTGCCAAGTAACGTGAATTTACTGGCAACCTCAGGTGTCAAGAGGTGCGACAGAACAAACCGCATCTATGTTTTTGGACCGTCACTTGATAACCTAGTAACCACTGCCATCTGTAATATGCATATGGACTAAAAGTAGTATATATTGACAACTTATTAATAATTATTTTTTCAGGCTTGCTTGAGGTCATCTGTGATAAATTGCTGCTCGACATGAAGTGTCGTTAACCAAAAGCTTTTGTTCCATCCACAACCATTTGACCATCTGTACTGTAAATTGGACATCGAAATGGTATGTATTCAAAAGTTTTGGCTTCTTACGGTTTCTTAGTGTGTTCGGAACGTTTGAGGGAACATTGTTTTTCCTAACGTCCATTGTGTATCAAAATCACAGTTTACTTCTTGGTGGGAGTAAAGTTTGTGCATGACCGTTACCTATTTTTAGCCGAGTCAAACGATTTATAAAAAACTCAACAGAATTATGGTTAGTAGACTGTTTTAACACGAACAGTAGGCTTTTGTACATGAATTATTTGGGTTCTAATCATGAATTCCGACCAGTTATTATGCGAAAATTAGTTTCACGCCGAAATCTGATTTTCATCCATGTAGTTTACTTTTGTCTATTTTTTCTATGTTCAGTCTTCAGTAATAAGGATAGTAGGTTGATGAACCTGTATTAACGTATTAATGTTGTAGCCAATTTACTATGAAGACCATTTGGGACGATTAAAATAGTCATAATCAGACAAATATTTGATGTTTGACCTATCTTGCTCATCGGGTTACAGACTTGTACTACACAACACATAGTATCTTTCTCTAGTTCTGTGCCTTGGTCTTAACAAACTTCACCGAAAATGCCGTTTTCTCGTGTTTACTAATGTTGCTTTTCCATGAAATGCCTTCTCCGGGTTGATCTACTTTTTTCTTGCACTATACCTGGAAATACTCCCAGAACGTCCTCGATGCACTTCCGCCCTACATGTTTCCATTTCATAGGCCATGTTTCGCAGCTATAGAATTATGCAATGCAAACTGCTACACAGTATACTTTACCCACGTCTAAAGAATAGGTATGTCTACCACACTATAGGCGTCACAAGTTGGCGAAGCCATCCTAGCCTTCTTAATCCTTGCGAAGATTTCATCAGATGCCAATCCCCTGACGCCTGATGTGACTGCCAATATGAGTTGGTTGGTTGGCGCTTTTGGCCGCCTCGTTCCCTGTGAGCAGTTTAGGTACTGTTGCAAACCCTCTGTGGATTTAGGAACAGAGAAACACGCCAAAGTCCGTAAGACTTCAGCATACAAGATTGTGTCATTTATTTGTTCAAGATCGTTGAGTTTGTTTCATCGTACAGGGTCAATCTGAAACACTGTACTCTAACTGTACTTTTCAGAGGGATACCTGTGATATTTTTAAACAGAAATGGGGATAGTATCTAACATCAACTAACTCATTTTCCATAAACAACCTACGTAGTCAAGCGAAATACTAAGCTCGGGTCGTTTATTTGTCAGGTAATAAGCAGTAATATAAAATTCATCCTGGTACCTTATGGTTTGAATCATAACGGTTTTGGCATCATTTATTTTTAAAACAATTGCATACCCGACAAACGTAAGAAATTTGCCTTAGTTTCTCAAAACATTCCTCATATCCTGTCAAATGTCCAACTTAAAACAAGCCACTAAAAAGGCGCTTAAATAGTACTACAGATAATTAGGTTTTATTTTCTATACCCTAGAAAATTATTAAAAAACATCGAGTCCCTAGACGTATAATTCATGAAAGCAAAAGCATTAAAACCAAGGTTTAGGTAAAAAAATTCCTCTCTGAGATTGTTAAATAATCTGTTGATCGTATCTTATAAAGCCTATAATCGTTAGAAATTCAAAATAGCTACTGACACCAGGGACCATTTTAGAGAGTAGTTGAATATGTCAAATACCTTATCTTACGTTGTTTGCCATTTTAAAACGCATTGTTTATTGCTTCTATTAGGGTATATAAAAATAGTTATAGATTTAGACCTTGCCGTCAAGTCATTTACTTTTCCTTTCAGGTAACTTTGTAGAGTACGCAGTCATCAATACTAACTTTGAAGTTGATCACTCAGTTTTTGGACAGCTTCTTACTTATCCGTTTCTACTCTGCTTAACTTACTTTGGTTGCAAACTTTTTCTTCGTGATGTTTGCACGGCTACGTAATTGTGAACGTGTAATATCTGATACGTACGTCATCAGTAAAAAAATACACACAGGAAACACGATTTGCAAGAACACTCGTGCTGGGGTGGTACGTCGAACTAGAGATCAATCCCAGCCCCTCACTTACGAGCAGGCAAAAAAGCCACATCAAATCGGTATAATGAAGTCTTGGAATTCTTGGAATACTTCAAATTTGGAAGGAGAAGACCGTTACACTTCAGAGGTTACCCTTCATGACCAGTTTATTCGAACATTTATTAATGGAACTTTTCCTTTGTTGGTTCAAAGTGAAGTATGTTTATTTAGTTGTACACAATTATATAATTTTTCCACACTGCACCCTTATGTTGATGCTAAATCTGGTTTCGATGCATAACTTCGTTGAGTTAGTTTACGGAAATTCAGATTTTGAAAGTTCTGTCCATCTCAGATTGGAATGTGAAAATTCAGTAAAAAAGTCATCTGATAATTGTTTTAGCTCATACTCTCGATTCTATACAGAATGTAACTCAGGAGCATTGACTATCGTGGTAGTACATCAAGATTCAATCACTGAGTCAAAAACCTTGGATCCCCATTTTCAATATCATTAGGTTTATGACACAGTGCTACCACCACTTGATGCGATCGGGCGACACTTGTTTTCATTCTATAACTAACCAGCTGCACAGGTTACTGTCGGGACTTTTAGCACTGTTAAATACCACGTGACTTACTGACCAATCATCATACGACTTATACAATCTTAGCACTGTGCCAAACCAATGACGTCTTGACTGGTATAAGTGGCCTAGCGTCCTTATTGGACTTTTCCTGCATAGCCTTGGCTGTCGGGTCCAGAACACCAATATCAGCTTCCACTATACGAATAATCTATTTCAAACATACCTGGTTTATATACAAGCCAACCAGACCACATCACACCATAAAATAAAAATGACATTTGTACAAGATCAAGCCAAAGAGTGGCTGTGATTGTCAGAGACTGTAATTAATAAACTTGGTATAACTTAAGCGTAGTAAATCGTATAATAATATTCTATAGGTCAAACTAAAGCTTATAATAAGAGGAATATAAATATGCATAATCTAGTTACTCAATAGTTACACAATAAGAATATATATAGTTTAATCTTCACTAGGATATATTACATCTCCCCATTAAAAGCTCGCGACATCGATTTCGCAGCAGGTTACTAATGTCAAGTAACAAATTATTATGACTCAGCCATCAGTCTTGATGGCTGTAGGTCCGACTCGGTATGTAGTCAAGGTTACGTATCATTTGAGTTCCGAACTAGTGTGTATTAGCTGTTGACTGATCTCCCGTTTTTACATATTTTTCAAATGATTTCAGTCAGTCGTAAAAGTTATCTTTGGATTAACTAAACCCTCACAAACTATCTCAGTGAATATTTTCACTAAACTGTTCGGATAATTATCTCAGCTAAAATCAGATTTCCTTTTTGCGACCAGTCCTTCTGCCCCCAAATGCCCTGGTATGGCCGAGGGTGGGGTGGGCCCACCCTCCCTCTCGAACTGCTCTCACACGGCCACGTGTATTCAGTCTCTGCTAAGGAAGTCCTACTCACTGCCTCGTGGTGGGGGTGTTTACGAAATTGAGAGGACGAAAAGCGAATGTCCGGCGCTTTAACCGGATTCCAAACCAAATCAATGGTGGACATGGGCTTCAGTATCCTGTGGGAACAAATGGAGTATGAACTAATCGTTGGTCACCGGCTACCATGGGACTGCATCTCCTCACGATGCTCCACTGCCTTGTGGATCAGACCTTTAGGTTAAAGGCTCTGGGAGTGGTCCCCTAAGAAAACTATCTGCTTCGGTCTGGGCACCCGGGCAGTATCACAGTCCTCACACATATCAAATGAGATTTATATGGCGCATATCTATTTGGTGCCTCGTTGTACCAATATCGATGTGTTAAAATAAATAAATAATAAAACCAGTTCTTCTATGTATCGAAATAATGAAGTATTGTCACCCAACACTTTGAAATCCATAACATTTTGTCTCTTATATGAGAACAACTTAAAATATAAAGGAAGATGATAATAATAAGTTGTTTAATTGTGATGTGTCTTTATGTTAGTACTACGGTTCAGTGATTTTTGAGGGTAGGTAATTCAAGAACTGATTACAGCATTTCACTGGTAGTTTATGTCGTACATTTATGCGTCACAGCCTATGTACCGCGCATTTGATAATTAAAAACCCTGGAAGCATTTATTTTCATAATAAGATGTTATCGCCAATAATCAATCCAAATCCAGGGCCTTCAGTCTCGCGCGCGAACGAATCCCGCGAGAGGGATCGTGGATGCGCACTGTTGAAGAGTTTCACAATAGGACGAAACAGCCGTCCAATGCTTTCAGGTTTTCATTGGTGATTTAACATCAATCCGTTCATGATCTCATTTAAAAGACTCAATAATCTCCACAACCCTATACTGATAATTGACGTCTACAGGGGTAAAAAGCTTTTGTGGGTTGGTAACTGCCGATCTATGACGATTTCCAGGTTGGGTTCCTAATGATCATGCGAGGCAGTAGCTTTGAGTGTTGTCAGATATGACATATTAAAAGGCAGTAGATATCTTTCTACAGTTTTTAGTGGATTCATCATTAAACTTAAGTGAATTTCATTAATTGAAAGAAATCCATTTTGACTGTTTTTCCAAATTAATTTTATTTATTATTAAGCATTATTCTTATTTTTTTATTGATAATATGACGTTTCTTTACTCTTTCGTAATATTTTTATACTCATTTATATCGTGTATTCTTTTATCCGATTGTTGTACTAAAATTTCTTGTGTTATCGACAAATAATAGAGTTTTATATTTATTATTTTTCGGTGTAAATCACATTCATTTTTAACTACTTTATTTTCTACACACCCAAAAGGTTATTATCAAACGACAATGTAACGTAATACGTGTAGCTTTTTTACTATTAAAGCGAATATCTCCAGGAGAAGCCAGTTTCCTCATTGGTTACACAGAAGAAATGCTTTCGCTTATACTTCGATGTGTTGTGAAACTAGAAGTACAATTGGTGATATCCAAAAATGATGTTATATTTCGATATATTTAATCATTGAACTGAATTATTATTTATTATATTGTATTCATAAAAGTGATATATATTGTACAGTGTATCATTATTATAGCCTTTAATATACTGCCTATTTAGTTATAGTCATTCTCGTTAAATTTCGACCAATCCAATAGTTTTCTGATAATTTTAAGGGTGATTCTCTCCCATAATTTGATATCAGTGTTTAAAACAAATTCATAAAACTATTCAGAATGTTCGATAGGATTGTTTTATTCTGTCCTGCTAATTTTCAGTATCAGATATTCACGAATACTAATGTTGTTACTTCTGAATTTAAGCTAGCTTTAATCTCGATTGAGTTTACAATATCCTTCATGTTTTTGCTTCTGAAAATACTGAGCTCAGAAAGAAAATTTTGTTTGATTTTCAAGAATGATTTATCAGCAAGCATAAAATTGCTTACTGTAGTGGATCTATGTAGATTACAACTCTGAACATTACAGGCAGTCAAAACAGAGAAACAAGTAAACTTAAGACAGTCTAACCTAGCAATAGTTTAGTCATGCATATCCGTTTTGTTCCCCAAGTTTCTAACAGTTTTCATAAACCAGTCCATTTTTGTACATAAAGAATATTTCTCAGAGATACATTTCATTAAGTTAAATCTGAGCTTAGTCATAATGCGAAAGTCAGACTAATGACGTCCTCGTTTGTATGTTTCCAAGACCACGAAACAGCCTTTCAAAAGCCAATGTTTATATCCACTGAACACTAACTGAAAATTCATTTTCTACTTACAAAATAGTGCAGATACACATTTAATCGGTTTGTAGCATCAGCAGTAAATTGTATTCCATTCTTCAATACTTTGTCAACCAAATATTTCAGCCAATGTAAGTTTCTTAAATAATTTGGACATTGATAAGACAAAGATTTGGTAGTCTATGATATTTACTTAGGATGAAACCCTAATATCATTTGGTGTTTTATTATAGTTAAAGGCATTTATTGCTGAATTCATTTAGTGTATTATCTGTTCACATTCCTACACTAATTTTAAGTTATGAGTTTATTCTTAAATGTTAGTAAATATGTCACCAATAGCACACGTGGAGGATTACATATACATAAACACGATTCGTTCAAACTTTCTGTATTAGATAAGTGATAGTAATAAACCTTTGACTTAACTTTCGCATCACCCCTAATCATTCACGCTTCTATATGAGATCTAAGCAGCAGATTTTAAACTGTCGACTCAACCACTACTCTAACCACCGGGTCAATCCTTGGACGTTGTGTATTTTCTTCATCGGAAAACCATGTAAGTTATGTACACTGTTGAATAATACTACTTTAAGTAAGAGAAGGACAGAGATCCATGTCTTTCCTTACCATTTTTAAATATAATTCATTGGTGCATACATAGTGCTCCAGGACTGGCTTGCGTCAACACGTGAACTAAGGGTTGGGAGTGAAGTAGTCTCATCAACCCTAATGGGTTGGTGTCTGACGATGGTAAATCAGTTGATGAGGTTGTGAATCTTCATCGACTGAGGTGGTTGGGCCACGTGTTACGTATACCTAAATACCGATTACCACGACGAGCAATGCTGACTAGTGTTGGGGATGGTTGGGAGAAAGTTAGGGGCGGCCAAACTAAAACATGGCATCAGTCCTTAAAGTGACTTCTAGTGTGAGTCATGTTGGTAGATGCAGACTACCTGATTGGGGTCCGCGTGACTATCGTAACCAATGGTTGGAGACCTTGGGTAACATGGCTCAGAATCGATCACAATGGTGTCGGTGTATACACTCTCTGTCTTCCCTTAAACCGTGATATTAAAATTACTTCATACCTTTCTTCCTATGGACTAATTCTTTCTTCCTGTATTATATCCTTATATGCAATCTTTTATATATTACCACCACAGGATTAACTATAGGAGTTCGGTGTTCATTTTGTTGTGCTAATGAGGTATGGCAACTTGGACCGGTGCATATATGTGCCTGGTACTACGTTATAGCTGACTGACTGAGTAGTGTCTATAAACATGTTTCTAAAGTCTACTTAAAAAGAATTTTACGAAACGTGGTTGTATAAAACTAATGACAACAATCGCGGATTCTCATTTAAATAACAATAATCTTTTGCAAAGATTGAACGATATGAAATATATCAGATTCTTTGATATCTAACTTGTATTGTACATAAAATTTCTCAATTAATATCACTAGAAATTAGTGGTTGTTTTCTATGTTTCAATTATTATTAAATCCAAGTGAGTAAGAATCAGTTGTTTGTTGTGTTTGCCACAAGTCAACTAATTGATGGGGAAGATGTCGAAGGTGGATTTATATTTGATATATTAGTATTTAATGATTTGTCAGCTTGGGTCAATGTTACTGTTTGTTGCGAATTAGTTGAACTTCCAGTCGTTGACGAGGAAACACTTGGGATAACAGATGTATCTGATCGGGTTTGACCTGAGTAATTAGGTGAAGTTGGTGTAGACACTGATACTGGAACTGATGAAGTAACCGAAGTTGCAATCTTATCATCTGCTAATTTATGGCTTATTGAGGGTTGGAGTGATATATAATGACCCTGAATATTAGAGTCCGGGGATAGGTTCATGAGATTAGAGAAACTTGAATTAGTTGGTTGTAATATATTATTTTGTCTCGCTACATTGATATTTTGAAGTTGGGCTAAATGAGTTTGCAAACTTGTAGTGTCTATAATGCTACCACTTGGGCTATGACCCAATGACCCTACAATACTTGATGTTCCTCCAGCAACATCGTCGTATATGACATGCGGATGCTGCATTCGTATTAAATACTGCGGAAATGAGTGAATTTCACCCTGCCCAAAATGACGTACCGGAGTTTGTGGTGAGTATCCATAATTGTTCACCACGTCACGATTAAGATTTGGTGAAGGAGTATTAAGTGATGGAGCTCGAATGTATGTTGGTGTGAAACTAACAAACTTATTTGTGTCATCAATCATAGGAAATGTTGTTAGATTGGTATTCTCCATATCTAAAGTTTGAGGTTGCGTTAATCCTCCAAATTGTTGTTGTGGTATGCTGTTGTTTCTCAGGTTTTGCATTCCATTCTTTCTGAAAGTACCTGGTAATGAATTTGTCGGAATGTAATTTGTAGGTGGATTCTCCTTATATGATGTACCATTGTAGAGTAAAGGGATTTTTTGTATAGCAGATAAGCTGTATGACGAATTAAGTACTCCATGATCTGAGCCATTTATTCTAACATGATTCATATGCGGCGTCATAGTTGCTCGAGGTAGAATTGGTGTCGTCATAATTAGTGAACCCTTCCTCATTTCATCAGGTAAGCAAAGACAAGCAGCTAGGCAACTTGTTTTACTTGATCCTTCTTGTGATGCGTCTGAAGCACATAAAAATAAGGAAATACAAGGAGGAGAGAATAATATAGACTAAAACAATTCACTTAGAAGTTAGAACAGAATGTAAACTTAATTAATGGTTAAGTTTCGTGTCCCATTTAGTAAAGAGTCGTGTTAGTAGTTTGATGCCTACTAGTTCAAATCATACTGTAAATGTGGTTTACATTTGATTAAAGTTTTTGTCTCTGTGTATACATATACAGATAATTATATTAGCTTGAACTTTACTGGTGTAAGGAAACGGCGAGTTTTTCTATTATAACCAATATTTCCAATGCACAAGTATGTTTCTTCATTACAATTGCTGATTTTCCTGACTACATTGATTAATTTTCGCATATAATGTAGATTCATCGTTTTTGAACATATTGATTAATTATACTCATAGGAAATAACTGATCATTATGGAAAGTAAGACTTCATAACATTGAAAAAATGTCGATTTAGCCTAATCTTAATAATAATTCATAGACTTTTTTGTTTGATAGTAATTATAAAGATCTAAATGAATAACTAATCAAGATGAATATTGAGTTAGTTATGTTTTTGTTAAAGGTATACGGAAAGATGTATTTAATTCCGGATTATACTTAAAAAGTAAATTCTGAAGAAAAGTCCAGAAAATATAAATTAACATAGTAAATATAAAAATTGACAATTCCATTTTCTAGTTGATAGCTTACCAATATAGGAACGAAATAGTAAACATCGAATGCAGAATCCCAAATTGATAAGAATTGATAAAATCAATATTGATAGTATAGTAAATAATACTTCCGGTTTTCTCATATAAGATGCTATCAAGAAAAGAACAACAATACAGTATTGTATTATGATCAAATGAAACAGAAGTAGTATGATGTTCAATTGATATTCATTCCATTATTTGGTCTTCCGTTAACAGACGATGCCATGAAATACTCCTATGAACAATCCTTCCAACTTACAAATATAAACGAACCAATTACATCGAGTTAATAGCTTCACTAACAAATTCTCTTAATGTTGCAATCCAAACATCCACAAATATCACTCTTAATAGATTTTCAGCCTCGATGTTCGAAACAGATATGTGAGACGATATGATTGGGGTGATGTGAACTGCAAATGGGTAATATAATAAAAAAAATCGCTGTATTTATTGATCCGAAAGTAGACTCTGGAAACGACGCTTCGATTAGTCAAAGGGAATAAAACCCAAATCAGGATGATGGGTTAGATCTGGAAAAATTTTCATCCTTAAAAACTTTATCTCCATAAACTGAATATCATTCATGTTTTCTTACTGATTTTAAATTAACTTTGTACATTTTGTGTGATACTCAGTATAAACGAACTAGTGTTTTAGGCATCACAATGAATTGCTATTAGGAGTTACCTAAAGTTTTATAATCAATATTAAATGGTAGAAAAATACAATTTTTTAGGCAAGTTTTATATAGAACAACCAAATATAAATAACGGAAATGATCTCTGAACTTTCTTTATAAGTTTTGAAAGCCAAATCCTTTAATCATAAATAACAAGAATTTAAAAATGGTAATTTTGAGTAATCTGTTGTAGACTGTTAAAGGATTCCAGTCAAGTTAACACAACATTGATAGTTTTGAAAGAGCGAATTTTATGTAACAATATTTTTAGATGTTAAATTTGACTTTGTTTAACTATACCATAATCATATTAGGCATCAAA